GACCAGAGGCTGATCAATGAGAATTCGCTTGGGCTGGATATTTGGCTATTTGTGAAGACTTCAGATAACAAATGGAACATATACCATGGGAGAGTTAAGCCTGGTTCTCAAGGCAGAGCAGCATGGTCCCCCTTCCATCAAGAAGGCCACTGATGTGACAAAGGACATGTGGGCCAGGCAGGACACGAAGAGGAAAATCAAGGGAGAGACACCCTCCCACCACCACCACCAAAGGTTCAAGGAGCAAAGTAGAGGCACAGGGCCGAAGGGGACACTCTAGCTTATTTAGATATTTTAGATTGAATCCTCTCTTCACACTCATGGCCGCTCTGCTGTCTGAGATCAGAGAAATAGAGAGCTAGAAGGAATCTCGATAACATTTAGTCACCATCTCCTCCCACCACCACTGCCAGCTGTCCAGGCCACCCCCACCTCACCCCACCCCACCCCAAATCAGGCTGTGCAACTGGACTCAGCCCAGATGGGCTTCAACGCAGAACCTATAAGGAAGAGAACTCCACGCGACCCCTTCTGGTCATCAGTTCAGCTGTTAAGAGGCTCTTTCGAATGTTGTGGTTTAAATTATTTTTCTCTTTTCCAGTCAGCAGGACATAGAGGACAGCTTTCATCTTAAATCCTTAAATTTAACATGCTTTTGTAAGATATACGCCAATTATTAAAAGTGGTTATCTCATGAGACATGAGATTAAGAAAGACTTATTTTTACACCGTTGTTATTTTAACCCTGATGCATTATTTCCGTCTCCCTCACCAAGTCCTCCCTCCCCACCCCCACCCCCTACACTGCTTGCCAATAAAAGAAATGGTATTTTAAAAAGCTCCTCATGGAGCATTATTCGATTGCCTCTTTTCACCAGGATAAACCCTAGTTTCATCCTAGTTTCATTCCTCCGTGGAATCTGAAATGAGAGGGGAAAAGTGGAATGAGAAAGAAAAAGTGGAAGGTGGAAGGCAACGCAGGCGACCCCAGCAAACTGCAGAGAGCGCGGCTGATGGAAAGGCACTGAAATCCCAAACTGGGCTGAGGGCCCCGAGCCTGCCACCTTGAGCACTTTTCTCCATGCTGTACTTCCTGGTTCTTCAAGCTTTCCATATGAGAGTGTGGAGCCCCAAAAGAGAACATCTTTGGTCTTGGCCATCAGAGACATGCTGTTATCTGTTGCGTCGACAGCAATTTTGGTCCCATGGCAAACACTCACCAGCACGCAGGATTAAAATCTGCAAAGACTGATCTGTCCCCGACTCCTGGGAGAGGCCACAGGAGCCAAGCAAAGATCCCAGGGAAATGTGACTCACAGACCTCACTCTGCATTGACTTGGACACCATGGCAACAGGGCACCTCATCTGAGCAGATGGCACAGCAGACGGCCCCTGTCACGCGGCGCCTGCTATGGCAGACCAGGCCACCTCACCAAGCAGGCTTGCTTCTGTCCAACTGGCACAGAGTCACACTGGTAACTATTTACATGAGTCAAAATCCATCCAGAGGTAGCAGATGGCCAGGCAAGGCTGAGATGTAGGGAGAAACGGAGCTGATTTGGGCTGAGTCAGAGGCAGAGGCAGCAGACAGCTCCTCTATGGGCACCGACAAGTCAAAACATCATTCCCCTTGGCTGGTTTCTCAGCCTGGCTGGAGGCTGGGAAAAGATTAGGCATGAACAAAGCTGAAAGGATCACAGGCTGATCCCTAGACCCTGAGACAAAATGGTATCGAACAGGCCCGTCCACTCCTAAGGCACCTTCCAGCACACCAGGCCATTCTGAGCTCTTTGTCATCGTCAGGGGTGAACACTGCTGGGCAGAACCAGCGGAGGGGCCGTATCAGGCAGAGGTAAGCATTCCTACTGCAAGACAAGCAGCTCCAAAGAACTAAGTTTAACAACACAACCAAGATGAGTGGGAGGATCAGAGGCTCTTGTGTCTTTGTCATCTTCGTCACATTTATCCTGCACATGACCCAGGGCTTGGTACACAACGGGCAACCAGAGGCATTTGTTGGGATGAATTAAAAGAGTATATGACGCAAATCTAACAGAGTGACCTTTGCCTGTTACTGGGTTTGGGGCGTGTGGTTTTTTTTTAAGGCAGGATGTTGGCTATAGAACATTTTGTGAGCCATCCTGAGCCCAAACAGCACCAGTGAAATTCTGACGCAGTTGGTCCAGAGTGATAACGGGTGTCTCACTTCCTGCTTTGGAATTCTTTCAGTCACAAGACCCTCAGCGTCTCCCAGGCCCATGGCCAATGTTTGAACAAGAATGATACTCATGCACACCCACGTGGACTGCAGCTTTCATTTGCCAAGTAGAGAGTATTTGAACTTGAAGCGTTTTCTTTTTCCTTCCCTTCTCTGGCTTTCCTCCCACCAGGGAGGTTGTGGACGGTGCCACTCTATAGTGACAAACGTCAATGCTGGATAGGCCTTGAACTTCAACATCAGCATCAACAGCCTAGAGGTCAAACTGAGTCCAAGGCCAAGTTGCTGGGAGGCACGCAGGCTCCCAAAATGTGCTTGGACATTAGCAGCGGGCACTAGCTTTCTAGAGGATCCTTAGAAGCTCTGAGCTAGCGGAGTCATACAAGTGGTTCTCAGAAAGCCTGCATTTTCTGTCTCCATGTTTATTGGGAACCTCAAAGAAAATGAACATAGAATGATTGACCCAGCAAAACAATTCTTGACAGAATCACGACGGGAATTCTGGATGGTGAAGGGATGGACTGTGAAGCTCAGCAACTCAGCCCATAGTCAAAGGCATCAGGGTGGTTCTGAAAATAGAGATTCAAGAAACCCAGAAAAATGTTCTTATCGATGATAAGAGAACACACTGCAGGGTCCTGCTTCATGGCTGATATCCAGAGCCGAAGTGCCGGGGTGTGGTTCACACAGCTGCAGGACAGGAAAGGAGTGTTAGCTGGTCGGAAGGCGAAGGCATCGGGAACAGGGGCACGTGTCACCCTTCAGGTTTTTGGGATACGAAAAGTGGGTTTCTTTGGGTAATAAAGTTATCTTAGTGACCTTACTATCAACTGAGCACGATCATTTACTGAAGGAAAATCTTATTTTTGGAATACCTGTGTGTGCTTTTGAATTGTAAAAGTTGTCGATTTTAACAACGCAGTTGAAATACCTATGGACTGATTGCTCTGGGGGAAATAAGATGCCTCTGCCTCACTGTTTACCAACAAGAAGACAACCTCCTGAAAGAAACGTTCTTCTGTCACTCTCATATTTTACTTGAGGAGGTTTGAAAAAAAAAAAATAAAGACAGGTTGTTTCTAAAAATACTTTTTAGAAAAGTAAGTAAAACGATCATTCAACCTTGAAATAATGGACCTGACAGGGCCCACCCAAAGATGGATCAGGAAGTTTAGGTCTAGGATAAGTCAAGTGACTTGCTCTGGATGGTATGACCGGTCAATGGGAAATCCAGGAGTAGATTCCCTAATCTGTGGCCCAATACTCTGTCCTAGAGAAGACAGGTTTTTGTGATGTTCATGTTGAGACCTAGTTTAAAATATCCAAATATGTTTTATCTGATCTGCCCTCAGAGACAGCTGAAATGGAAAGCTCAGATGTCTCCTGGATAAACTGTGCATTATGAGGGTCTAGATGCAGTTCTGGCTCAGCAGGACCAGAGTCCCAGATCTGAGAAGTGTCCAGCACCCCCCATGCGACTGGGTGCGATTAGAGCTGGTGCCAGCACGAGTTCAACTTCTCCACTGCACATTGTGGGAACAAGGCGTGTGTTCTGCCTGGGGACCCTACATGGTCTCCCTGAGTCTCCCGGGCAATTTCTTCTACTTTAAATATTCCTATACTTCCATGGGATGTGGGTGGCTATTTCATTTATTGGAACATCGAGCAAATATTGCTTTTAAAATCATTGGTGTTTTAAGGATATTCCTATCTGGGGAGATTCCGCAGGGAACTAAAAAGTGAGTGTACAGTGTACGGTGTCCACTTGGTGACTCGGCAGGACCAGGTGCAAGCGAGGCCCTCGAGGGAGCTGCAGACAAGTCACTAAAACTCGGTCACTGAATCCCTCCATCTACTTTCACCACTGGCCTGAGTTTGGATGGAAAGTGAGGACGGCAGCTCTGAAGCACTATGGGAGGCTTTTGGACACAGGATCTTATCAGCAGAAATATAAAGAAAGTTTGGGTTCACAGTGGCAGAAGAGCACAGATTCATTTTGAACAAGAAAATGTAAAACCTCTTTGTTCAAAATGCATCATGAAACATGTTCGAAGGAGGATAAATGGCACACAGACCATTTCAACCACTGTTACCCAGGACGACCCCAGGAACTCATGACCATGTGGTCGAATGTCTTACTCAGCTATTCCGTATACATCCAGCCGCTCAAACCAGGGCCAAAAGAGGTAATCGATCATGGATATACAGTCTCCACCAAAGAAGACGGTGTTCTGATAGTCAAGAATCTAAAAGTTTAAACAGAACAAAAGTAAGTTAATTTACTGATCTGCTGGCATTGTTAGAGACACTAAATACAAATATCAAATTACTTCCCAAAGAGAGGGAGAACTAAGGCTTTGATTCTCCTTCCGATTTGTTAGGTGAATGCTCCCTCCCTACTCCTGGGGTTTCTTCCACCTCCCTTGGGGTCATACTCCTGGCCACACTCAATCCCCTCCCTCCTTTCGATACTGGAAGGATGGCATAGTTCATCTCGTTGGAGCATCTGGGAAGATAACCCAGGCAGAGGCACCAGCTCCCTCACTTAGCCTGGGACAGGCTCCTCCATGTGCCAAGCTCTCCATGAACAGCTCAGCCACTGGAGTGGAGAGGCCCTGTCTCAGGCCAGTGCTGCCCATCACTGGGCGGGGGGCACATTGGGAAACCCATCTGTTGCAATGACCCCCATTCTCCAGGATGCATTTTATCTGTAATAAATGGGACACCATAGTCTCCACGTCTTCCTCTTTTGCCTTATTTTTCAATGATTAAAAACTAGGGCAGGAAAGAGCAGTGCTGTTTAATGGACATCCTCAAATCTCAACGTTGTCTTTCTGTCACCTTTTCTTTTTTTATTTTGAGCTCTTTGAACTTCGTGCTAGTTGGTCACCCAACATCATCAACTTTTTACATTAAAATTTTTCATTCTCAAATTGGACAAATCAACAGAGACAGAAAACAAATAAACTCTTAACAGATAACCAAAGGTAGTAAAAAACAAACAAACAACAACAAAAAGACTACCTGAAAATTTATATAGCAAAAGCACTTAACAGAGGTCATTGTCTGGCCAGTCTTCCCAAAGAGAAAAGTATTGTGCCAATTATCTAGTTACATCAAGCAATTGACTCTCTTTGACCCATATAACTCATAATCAACTCAATACTTGCCCATAGCTATAGATCTAGCTTCCTATATCCTTTATCTAGATTTCTATATTCCTATCTCTATCATTCAGGTTTGATTCTTCACACTCCAGACCAGCTTGATAACTGTGATGCAGCCCAGGGCTGTAGTTAGGAGGGTGAGTTCTGGAGCCAGTAGACCTGGTCCTATGCCGGATCCACCACCAATTCAACACAGAACACAGGGCAACTTACATCCCTCCTCCTCCAAGCCTTAATTTTCTCATCTGTAAAATGGTGCTGACATTAGTGCTCATCTCAAAGATTACGGTAAGGAGTGATGTAACTGCACGTGAATAAACATGAGCTCTCGTGATGAGAAAGCACAGAGACCCCCAAAAGTTACCTCCACAGAAAGCACATCCACTCCTGACAGAATGGATCAATGGGACCCCCCACCCACCACCCTTCTCAGAGGAGAAAGCAAATCTTGTGGCCCTAAAGTCTAAGTCTTCATTATCTCCGAGTATGGCATAAAGAAGTCCCCTTGAATAGTATCCCAGAAGTCTGAAAAAATGTTAGGTGGCATCACTTTGTTCAAAAGAACTAGCAGCATCTGGCCAATGAAAACTCAAAACGGGCTATTTTTAGTCATGTATAAACAAGGTCTGACTTAGAGCGAAGTAATAAATTGTTCCATTTTTATGGATTCCAGAAGCCCCAAACCCTCTTTATCTTCAGGAACAGATAATAGTTATCCAAACTTTTACCACTGACTTTGAAATGTATACCACCAGTTTATTATTGGCCTTCGTGGCACAAATCAGAACCAAATCTAAAGTGATTGACTCTGGAACATCTGTGTAATTCTGCTTTACAGAGCAGAGGTACTACTGGAAGAGTCCTGGTCAAAACAAGTCACATGTGGACATTTAACGGAACCCATGATGGGTCCTTTGGTAAAGTGATGAGATATTTTGAAAATGAATAACTGTTGAGTAATTGATGTTTACTTAGTATATTTTTCTAAAACCTTTCATTTGCTCAAAGTAGGAGTATGCCTTTAAATATATATGATCTTACAAATATGATTAATTTGTATAAAAACACTCATAAAGTAATTGAAGCCCTATCTAGGTACTTTATATAATAAAAAGTTAAGATGACCATATGGATTAAATGGATGAGGCATCAATTACCTTCTGCCAGCTTCCCCCAACCCCTGAAAAACATATATACATTACCTCAGATTTTTTTATATCTAAGTGTGACTTGGGACTACCCACATTGAAATCCTTGGAGTTTCTGATACAGCTGCAGATTTCTAAGCCCTGCCTCAGACAGACAGGTTAAGTCTAAAAATCCCCATAGAAAATCTGTCTTCCTATCCACTAGCACTAAGTGCTGCTTTCTTTACAGGCACATCCCAGTGATGTAGGAGAACATACTGGCCAGGCGTCCTAATAAAGTTCCTGAAGTGTTAGGGCCCTCAATAGAAGAGCTTTCTTCTGTGCTAACCAGATACCTTCCAGTCATGTGAACTGAAGTTTCCACTTGGAATTACAGAACATCAATATTGGAAGGGCTGCTGGAACTCATCATGGGGTGACTCCCCACACATTTTACTATTTTGTAAATACCATGCTTACTACACAAAAGATTAGAGGTGCACTGTAGAAAAAAAAAGTCTATAATAAAATATTAAATATGAAAAATAATAAAACACTAAGATCAGGGAAAATAAAAGTTAGAAGGTCAAAACAAGGAAGGAAAATGGTATCAAGATATCAAGCCAAGAGTCCTGCAGAGTTCCTTAAAGCTTTGAATTTGAATTTGAATTTGAATTTGAATTTGAATTTGAGTTTCCTGGCAGCTGAAGCGGACAGGAAAACATGCTGGTGAGCTGATTCTTGTCTTTCATGTGGAAGCACAAGAGACTCACTTTACAGAGGAAACTCAGTCCCAGGGAGGTAAAGGGACTCTCTCTGGTTAGTGTCAGTCCCTCACACTACTGCCAATCCTTGTGTCATTCAACTTCAAACATGTATGTATGAGGACTCTAATCACAAAAGCCTCCTCCAGTCTCTTGTGAATTCTTTGCTTGTTCTTTGAGAATTAGTGAACACTTCCTCGCTCTGTCAATCAGAGACTCTTCAGGAGCACCTACCAGGGAGGTGAGACACACCCACAGCCATGGTGAAAGAGCTTTCCAAAATTCTCTCCTTCCTGTTTTATTCCGTTGATAAGAATGTCTTTGGGGAACTTTACTAAAATAGTTCTTTTGTGTGCTCATTTTAAACTGGTCCCTTGCTTATAGTCAATTAGGTCCCTTGCTTATAGTCAGTTAGCTCCTCCAACACACTTTAGGATAGACAGAGGTAAAAGAAAAAACTGGCAGGGTTAATTTTCAGCGTCTTATCTTTCCTGAGTGTATTGTCATCAGAAACGAATAGGAAGCTGCCGCTATACCTGACATCCCTTAGCAGTGATTATGTTAATAGCCAAGGTCATTTTTAAAAACTCTATTTTGATTTTTTTCTGTCATACACCAGCCACATGTAATATGGCATTCTTATCGTTAAGAATTAAGAATATTGGCCATTCTTAATGTTGAATAGTTTCTCTCACAGCGGAATCCCTCACTTTCAGGTGTATTGTGCTTGGTATCACCAAGCAAGGCAAAATAGTCTGCTTAGAGAAGACACTTTTCTTCCAAGGCCCCTGACATCCCCCACAAGGCCACACGTGGGGAGGGAACTGAGGCTCTGTCTTCTAGACCTCGGGTTTTATGAAAGTATTAACACATCTTCAGTTCACCCTTAAGAATTGAGATATTTTGGAGAAAACCATTTGATGTCCTGGAATAGTAGAAAATAAGTATTTTTTTAAATTTTCTGCTCTCCAATTCATGAAAAATAACTACTGAGAGTTCCCTCGCTTTTGGATGTGACAAGGGATAAAGAATGAGCATGCAAATGAAGAGGGAGGGGCCGTTTGGTATGCCAAAGGTACACTATTTCCACCCGCTAAACGCGAAAAGCGTGGAAGGAGGGCCCCTCATCTTCTGCGAAGGCCTCTCGGGCTCCCCCAGGCGGTCGGAAAGGAGGTTCGCGCTGGAGCGCAAGTGGAAGGAAGAAGAGCGCCGCGCTCCCCCTTGTGGTCATCGGTGGTGAGGCGCACTTGACTGAGGCTTCCCCAGAAGGTTCACCAAGGAGGAAAAGAAACCTGTAAGATCAAGATCTTACAGAGAAGCGAATCCTAGACTTCCTCAAACCAAGATTTCTAAAAAGCTTCGGTCTACAGTCCTGGACTCTCGGATCCAGCTTCAATAATCGCCTACCCTGCACCACCATCAAGTACACTATTACCAAGATATTCTGGCCTCTGACGAGGACAGCGCGTGGTGGCTCACAGCGGGCACTGCAAGCCTTGCTGCAGGAGGTAGGAAGCGGTTTCGTTTTGTTTTTTAATAGACATAGTGCTTAAGAAGCAGAAACCCCTCCCCTCCACCCCCCTTTCCCCAAAAGACACAAAGCTACCTACCAATAAGTCAGCTCTGCAGGTCCTTATCCAGAAGCAGCAGTAAAGTACTCAATTCCAGGGGCAGAAATCTTTTGAGTTCAAAAAAGATAAGGGGGAGATTCTCAAGATTTCAAATTTCAGATCCCTGCTATACTGATACACAGCTAAAGCTGAGCTAACGACAATGAACTGATTGCCTGTAATACGAACCAACGGTATAGAACAAACAGTATAGGTAAAACCACTTCTCTAGAAAGGAATCTTCCTAGTAGTGTCTGGCAGAATGTGCCCCTTCCTGCTACTCATCACTTAAGACTTTCCGTCCCCTATGAAGATTCGGAATGCCATTTGTTAACATCTGGGGATTAAAGGACCATCCTGAAAATTCCTCCTGAAATCCTTTTAATGGGCTTCTTTTGTCAAAATATATTTGTAAGATAGTGGGGATGGGGGAGCTAGTGGATGGTGGACGAAAAGATAAATGAATATTTATCAAATCTCTGAAGGGGGAGAGGACTCCCTATGTATAAAAGGAGTGAAAGAAATCACAATAGGAAAGACATAGCACAATATTTTGAAATGTTATATATTTCTACATG